CAGACTGATAATATAGCAATTAGCTATAGATGGAGAGTGTATGAAGGACTGCCGTCCGTATTGGTCTAACTGCTTGAACTCCACTCATGCACTGGTTTGGTTATGCGATTTGATGGCGGTAAAAAGATGACATGCACCATTGTGATCCGGCCGTGCTAGTCGACTATCAAAACAAGTTGGCTGCAAGGCTAACAACTATCCCATCAAGAAGTGTAGATCAACACTGGACAACTACTATAAACGCAATGTAATAATCCAGTTTACACAGTTGTGGCCTAATCCGCCTTAAGACACAGGCAATCCTCCAACACTTATCCGACTTCTTGACGTGCGTCGGGAAATCCCGGCAGACTACGGAGACAATGAAGAGAGCCTTTCTTGGAAGCACAAACTCACAAACAGCTTAAGGGAGAACTGAGAAGCCCGAAGGGCGCTACGCGCAAACAAGATGGAATCAACAGCTGGGTGTGGAAACACGCAGCAACCGTTCCAACTCATCCTTGCTACTGACCCCAAAAGACAAAGCGTTAGTGAAACTACTTGCACGCCAATATACAGCCTTCACTGTTGCTTGGAACGCTGGGTAGAGCACTTCAAATAGCAGTTTAATCAGTCTCCCTCACTGGGTACCCCAAATAGTTCCCCTGGGAATGTGCCCTGATCTTTATTCAAGGAACCACCCACAGAAATTTAAAATGTAAATATCTTTTTAATTCCTTTTTTATTTATTGGATATACAAATGTACAGCCAAATTTCAGGAAGCCAGTCGCGGTCATGCGAAGGCTGTCTGCGAAAATTCGGAAATGGGGAATATGGGCAGCGGTAGAGCGGTTCGAGCCCGGAACTCCCGGCTCACATTTTGGTAAACTAACCACTTGGCCACCACCACCCAAACGGAAATCCGAAAGGAACTCTAAGCCCTGAAACGCCAAAAAGATTAGACAACCTGCTATCGGTCCTCTTTTGAAATGCTGATGAAGTTCTCATGAGAGCTTGCAAGACTCATTTCGAAGATTTGGGAAGATAAAGCCGTGCACCTTTGATGGAGAGAATCGCGTGTTAATTCCATTTACAAAAAGGGCCTATGCAATATCTGTTCAAACCACAGGGGGGAACAGGTCTGATTCCAATAGCGCCCAAACTGTTAGTACCTATTTTATTGAACAGATTGAGTCCGGTTCGTGAAGGAAAAACTGCGAAGAACAGACCGTGGTGGCATAGATCAAATCTTCACTCTTCGTCAGCAGCTGCAACACCACCAAACATATAAGAAACAAACCGCTGTGCTTATTTTGGATATTCTATGCCCTCGATCGCCCTACCATGTGGAGTTGTTGGCTGAGATACGGAGTAAACGAGAAGTATGTCTTGCTACCAAATTCACTATCATCAAACCTCAGCGAAGGTTAGAGCTTATGGTGAGCTCGCTCTCGTTTCTTGTCATCAGTGGAGTACGACAGGGTTACCCCATCTCTCCGTTTCTCCCTTGTCATACATCACGTAACGAACCCTGGCGTCAAGCTTCCTCCTGGAGAAAGATTCGTAGACTTAGATTATGTCGATGATATGGCATTTATCGGTGACAACGTACCGGCGATTCAAAACACGTAGAATCGCTTAGCTATTGAGGTTGCATGTCATGGTATGTTCTTCGCACCCTCAAAGTGCAAGTTGTTGCTAGATTGGATGGAACTTGCTTCTTCACTTTTGTTCACGAACCAGATTCTGGAAGTAGTCGAAAGCTTTGTCTACCTTGGGAGTTGCATAAAGGCTCGTGGAGGAGCGGGCGAGGAGACCACT